ACTTTTTTTAAATATTCCAATTTTGTAAATTTACTAAATATTAAAATAATTGTTTAATTTCCAAAAACTAATTATAAGAAATTTTGTTGAAAATTTATTTTATAATTTCCAATTTGTGCCTAATCTTTTTTTTAGATTTAGAAAAATTTTAAATGTTCTCTTTAATGTTTTTACTCAATTTTTGACAAACAAAAGATTCACGTTAGAAGGTTTTGGCAAGTACACTCTCTGCAATGTATAACAGAGTAATTTAGTTCGGAAGTGCTCATCAGGGAACGATCTTCTTGCGTCAAGGGAGGTATGACTTCTTCCCTCGTGGTGTCTCGATTCGCTTCGACAGATCCATAACTTAATGTGGCTTATACGTATATATATATATAGCTAGAATCCACTTTAAATTAGTAAAAAATAAAAAAATTACCGCAAAATACGGAAATTATTATTTTTTTATTTAAAACTTATTTTAAATATAATTATAATTTTTAATAATTAATAATAGTTTTATAACTATATTTTTGCTTAAAACTGAAATTCGCTATTTGGAAGTTTTAAACATTTAATTTTGTACTAAAATATTAATTTTAATATAAAAATATCGTTTCTTAAACTGAGAGTAGTAAAGGTTAAAAAAATTTTATTTTGCATTATAATTTGTGCGCTACTTGTTACTTTCCTCATTCCGCATTCTACATTTTTCTTTTCATATTCCGCATTCGACATTCCGAATTCCACTTTTTACTTTCCAGATTCCGTATTCGACCCCTCACAGCACCAGATATCTTAGGATATTCCAAAAACATCCCTTTGATATCCTAGGGATACCCCAAGGATATCCTAAGGATACTCTAAGGATATCCAAAGTAAAGGCGGTTAGGATATCCTAGGGATATCCCAGGGATATCTAAGGATGTCCTTAGGACGTCCCAGGGATATCCTAATCATTTCCCCGGATATTATTAGGATATTCTGTGGATATCCTTAGAACTTCCCGAGGATATCCTGAGGACGTCCTAAGGATATCCCTGGAATAATTAGGGATGTTCTTAGGACTTTCGGTGCGTGTGTTAGAACAAAAAATTTTCATTCGGTCAGTCCCATAAAAAAACGAATTTAAAGTGTCGAAAATCGCATTTTTGGCTTAAATATATGCTCTAATTATCAACTTTAAGGCCCAGATTTGAAAGATGATTGACAATCATAAGAAACCTATTTGTATCAAAAAATCGCTATCATAAATAGTCAAAATTTCAATCATAATGATATCCTAGGGAGATCTTAGCGATATTTCTAGAATATTTTAACGATATACCAAGTTTAACCCAAGAATATCCCCACGATATCACTAGGATATCCCCAGGATATCCCAAAAATATCCTACGTGACGGCGGTTTGGATGTTCTGAGGATATCCTATGGACGTTTTCAGGATATCCTTTTGTTGTGAGGGACATTCCGAATTCTATACTTTTCACTTTCCTCATTCCGCATTTCACTTTTTACTTTCCTGATTTTATTTAATTAATTACACTTTAATTTATTATTTTTATTAATATTATTTATTATTATTATTATTTTAGTAATTTTGAAAAGCCATATAATTTAATTTAGTAGGTAAATGATGTTAACCAGTATTTGGCCTAATGGCTTAATTATATTTTGTTCTTAAAATCATATGACGCGTTTCGATACAGTATACTGCATCCTCATCAGATCATACATTTAAATTGACAAAAAAAGTAACATGCTTGCATTGTCGGTTTTAAGGTTAAGCATGTTTTACATTTGTTCCAAATAAATTTAAAATTAATCTCTTGTAAATAATACTTATTTTCAAAAAAATTGTTAATTAATAATTGTTAGAAAAGATAAAATTAAACATTAAATTTGAGAACACATGTTTCCCATAATAATGTCTCTATAATGTTTCCCTTATGGGAAACATGTGTTCTCAAATTCAATGTTTAATTTTATCTTTTTTAACAATTATTAATTAACAATTTTTTTGAAAATAAGTATTATTTACAAGAGACTCATTTTAAATTTATTTGGAACAAATGTAAAACATGTAAAACTATTTTCTATAAGATTTAATATTTTTTATATCAATATTTCAAATTTTGACACGTTTTTCCTAAATTGAAAAATATTTACAAAAATTTCTAGTGCGTACTTATTGAAAAATGCATATTTTATTTCAGTGTATTAATTACATCATAACAATTGCATTACCTTATCTCAAAGAATTAAAAAATATTTTGTATAATATTTTTTTATAAATTTAATTTAAGAATGGTATAGTCTAATGCACTAATTATGGCGCGGTTCGAGTTAATTTAAAATAGAAAAATTCGACATTTCTATATTGTATAAAGTCAATTTAAGACTTATTAAACTAAAAGGTTATGTTATTTAGATATTAAAAGAAATTTTAACGTTATAAAAATCGATTATTTAAACAAATATGAGAAATTAAAACCAATACCGTAATTTTCTATTACGGCGCGTTTGTATCCGTTTCGGTGTGTCAATTACGGTGACTAAAATTACGTGTATTTTGAAGGTACCTTGCCCACCGTAATTAGAGCCAATGGAAATCTTAAAAATGTTTCAATTACGGCGAGGGAAAAAACATGATCTCAAATAATTCAATTAATAATTGTTTAAATGTGCATCTTTATTAGTAATTGTATCAAAAAAAGATTAAAATTATTTTTTTAAATCATTTTTCAACAATTATATTAAATATAATAGAAATAATAGTTATTTTTTATGAATGCGCCATAATTGATGCTAGTGCATCACCCTACACTTAAAAAAATATTTTATACTCAACTAAAGATGTAGAAAAAAATCATGCTAAAGATATTAAGAATGAAAAAATTAATGCAGAGCAGCTAGAAAAAAGTTATAATTAATAATTTCGTTAATTTCGAAAATGTTAGCTTCATAGTGCAATTCTGATTTTAATAATTGTTGTGAACCATAATTTTTCTGTTAATAAGTAATTTTCTTTGTCTCTGATCATTATCAATAAATAATAAAAGAAAAAGTAAACAATTTTGATAATAGTTGGAATGTATATTCTACTTTTTAGCTGCGAACATTTAATTTCAGAATAAATGAAAAAATTAAAATATTGTCAAGATTGACATATCCAATTTCTATATGCTTTATAATATTATAGGCCTTTCCCCTTTCATCGCTTAAAATCCCTTCATGAAATTCCTATCTCCTTAATGGATTGAACATATGCGGGGATGATAACAATCTTCATTCCTTTATGACAATAAGGGAAAGAAGGTTTACCATTCACTATCAATGAACATGTAGTATACAGTTAACCTTGATTAGAATTGCTGCTAATAGTTGGGAATTGGTGAAGGTAGAAAACGAATGGGGAAGTTAGGCAACAGGTGTCATCTGATTGATCACCGACGCTTGAACTCCCTACACTATTACCTAGCCCACAAACGCATCCACAATATAAATCAAGTATTTAATGTTACTCCACGAGAAAATAATAAGGTAAATATCCCCCATTTGTATATCCATCATCAAAATGGTTTATATATAAAAGTCAGTATAGCGATGTTTACAATTTAATTGCAAATCTTCACAACTAACCAAAAATATATCCCCGAATAACAATTTTTAGGTTTTGATCAACTGTATCACGTATAAATTTGGCTTGCAATGTTTTTGGATACTCATGAGTGGTATCAACTTGATCCCGGGATGAAAAATGTAGGTATTCCAAAAGTAAACTTAAGTCACATAGTATTCAAATATGTATTCCTCCGTGCCAAAAGGTAGACTGTGGAATACTTTGAGAAAAGTTACTAAAGTAAACTGATGGTATACTAAGATCTACCACATAGAGAGGAGAGCATACCGTTCGTATACATTGGGATATTATATGAATTTTTCTAAATTATCTTGTAATGAACTCCAACTATAGAGTTCTAATGGTGTCTAATAGATGTCGCATTGTCATATAGACAAAAATTCTTCTTATTAATAAATGTGAATAAAAATAAATAATATTAAATGATAATTAATTTATTCATTGAATATTTTTTGATACATATAAACATTATACATAATATGTAATACTTAATTAATTAATATACAAGTTTAATAAATAAATAGATAAACATAAAGAAAAATAACTATATGAATTAAATATTATATACCCTTTATAAAACTCATAATTCCGTACCTGAAAAAATGTCAACTTTAAGTTGCATTCTAGTCAATGATATATTTCAATATTTTAATGTTATTAAATTATTTTTTATAAAAAATTTTTTTTTATAATATTTTATACAATAATTTATTAAATAAACTATTACAATTGGCAGTGAATACAAGGTTAACATTTATAATATTAATATTATATTATAATATTTAATAAAATATAAATTTCTGGTTAAGTAAATAAAAAATATATGAAAAACTTACTTGATTTACTTATAATTTTTTCAGTATATGATTTCGTACCATCCGATGCGTAATTTGTCATTAATAATGAATTGTGTCACTTAGTGCAGGATTTTTTTAGTTAAAGAATTATCTTACACTTCAAATTATTTCGTTAAATAAAAAACTTTAAATATTACATTAAAATAACAATTAATAAATAAATTCTTCACTTTAACTCACTAACTACCGACTGTAGGTTCCCCTTCGATTCTGGCAAATGCTAGAAAGCAACTGAAAACTTGAAGGTCTGCCTTAGGAAAATTTTTGAAAAAATACTAAACATTTTCTTCGTCTCTTTGCATCTTCAAAATTCACACATTTTCTATCTAAATAAATCTATAAGAAAAAACAGGTACCGAAAAACTCATAAAATAGGACCTCTTGCATCGAGAAACCCTTGACTGGTCATCCTAATGCAAACCAGATGTGGCAAACAAAAATCAAATCATCAACAAAAAATTAGGTTATTCATTTGGCTTTAGAAAACAATTGATCAAATTGATAAATTCAATTTTTCAGAATTGTACGAAATAAGGCTGCCGAGAAAGCGAAACATGCACACCAACAACAACAAGCGCAACAGCAAGGTCAACAACAACAGGGTCAACCGGGTACAGGTGGCTCAGTATCAGTTATTGCCCATGCTCCCGCTACACCTTCTGGTCATCCTGCAGTAACAGCACCTAATGCTTACAGCATAAGTGGAATTTTAGGAATTCCACCACATCATCAGGATCCTAATGGAAACAGTATCAAACGAAAGCGAACTGACGATGGTAACGTATTTATTATCATTTATTCGGTAACAAAATTTTTAGTTATCGAATTTTTATTTTACAATCATTTAATTTACATGACTTTTTATTACAAAAGAATTTTAATTTAAGCGAATTTTAATATAGCAAAATTCTCATTCAATCGAATTTTATGTGATTCGTCGAATTTTTAAATGACAGAACTTCCAAATCACCAAATTTAAAATTTGTCCGAATTTTTAATTGATAGAATTTTTATGACACCGAATTTTCATTTGTCCAAAATTAAAAATGTCCGAACAAACAATCGACAGAAAGATTACGTCGCAATTTTGAAAATTTACCATAATTAGAAATTATTAAGAAAATCGTGATTGGACAATTTTAAAAATTGCGCAGAAATCTTTTTGTCGATATTGTTTTTTCAGCCATTTGTAATTTCGGATAAATGAAAATTTGGCGTCATAAAAAATTCTATTAATTAAAAATTCGCCCAAATAAAAAATCGGAAAAATTAAAATTCTGTGAATTGGAATTTCTGCCATTTAAAAATTCGAATCAAATAAAATTCGATTGAATGAGAATTACATACTTTAATTCTACTTTGATTATACATTAAACCTACTTTGATCCTGCATTACACCTACTTTGATACTACATTAAACCATTGTTAAATCTACTTTAATCCTACATTAAACCTTATTTAATTCTACACTAAATTTACTTTGATTCTTCATTAAATCTACTATGATTCTACATTAAATCTATTATGATTCTACATTAAATCTCTTTAATATTACACTATACCTAGTTTGATTCTTTATTAAATATATTATTTGCACAGACATTAAACTTTCTTTCATCCTAATACACTAAATCTGTTTTGATGTTTTATTAAACCTACTATATTTATATACCTACATGCAACCTACTTTAATCCTAATATTTATATTACTAAAAATTTTACCAACATGCACCTTTAATTTTTCTTCTATGCGGTTATGGTATATGTATAAAATAAAAAACATGCTTTACGTACCCAGTGAACATGCGTCATATTTTCAATTTTGAAAATAATGACATCTTACGATTTGATTTTCTAAAGTACAAACTTACAATTATCCGTTTGGTCTTATTTTGAAAACAGTACTGCCAAAAGAATTGTAATAATTATAAAATTCCTATTTGGTTTTCATAAAAAAAACAGTTTTTTAAGCGATGTTTCTTTCTCGTAACTGCATGGATATCTGAAACAAAAAAAAAGTTATAGTTAATACCCCTTAACTACGATGACGACAATTTTGTGCGTCAAATTGTCGTCATCAGCAGTTAAGGGGTTAATGAAAAAATATTTCTATTATAATATATAGTCGCGAATAAAACAAAAAAGTAAAAACAATGCTTGTCTTAGTGATCAAACTCAAGCAACAAACAAAACAGTTTTAGAATCTGCTTCATAATTCAATGAATGATTTTAGATTATATATGTTAAATTATTAAATTCGATTAACTGACAATTAATGATTTTTATGGGAAATTCATGTGCTCCCAAAATCGTTCAGTTGATCATTTTTGGTTGTAAGAATAATATTTTGGTTGTTATTACAAAATGATTTGGTTGGCACAACTAATCCAGGTTGTTTTTGTGAATAGTACTATTTATGATTATTGTAGATAATACTATATATATGTTTTTAAATGCAAAATAGCTTGTAATATTCAAAGTGTGCTCATTTTTTCGAAATTTGTCATGGATCCAATCGTAATCGAATTGATTTCATAACCTGACTTAAGTTACAAGACGCAAATGGTCCAGGATTAGAAACACAAATTTATACTTCGTAGGGTCATCAGTCAAATGTCACATTGCACGTGCTCTCATTCATTCCGCTGCGCTACGTGAATAGTCTCGCTGCCCGAAAATATTCCTGTCACGTGTCAGCTCACGTGTCTCCCTTTTCAAGTTCGAAATGATTCGCTCTCACATTTTGAGTAGTGACTTCCGCAAAATGCATATACGGTCAAAAATATATATGAAATAAAAATATTGAAAACAACAGGAAAAGATTTATATCTGCTTTTATATGTATATGTATATGGAGAGCATTTGTCATTTATATAAATTTCAAAATTTCTAAATCAATAAAAAAAACTGTTATCCTCTAACAGGAATTTTTTTTAAATTTCTAAAAGCTCTTAGAATCAAACTTAAAATATCGTTTGTTGTTTTATGTTATTGTTATTTATTTGAAACAAAATTTATTTACATGATATAAAAAATATATTTGTCGCATAACTTTTTATTTGTTTAAATAAAAAAAAATTATTTAGCAGAAATAAAATTTTATATATACGGAAAAAAATAGTCCGTAATAAAGTAGGGAATTATTTCCACAGTGCAGGATACGGCCTCAAGTCAAAGATGCCAACAACCATCACCGTACAAAAACTGCGCTTGCGCTACTTCAACTCTTTGATTGGTAAAACAAGGGCGCTCATATTTAAAATGCTTTTAATAGAACAAAATGTTTAGAAAACAAAAAACTGTAAGAGTTAAATTCAATGTTTTTATGTTTAGTTAGAATGTTTTTTTAATCAAAATTAATTTTTATCTATTATTTTTAAATTATTATTTGTGTACGTCCGCATGAAAAGGGAACACTTTGTCGATTACAATAAGGATTATTTTTGCGTGAACATTAATGCAAATATCGCTCTTATGAAAGAAACTAAAATGGTCCCTTTTCATGCGGACCTCGATGCGGACGTACACATTTATAAATTTAAATTAAACATTTTTAACTATATTAAAAAAAATTCCCTTGATAATATTTAATTAGATAATTCACTTATTTTAATTAAAAATATATTAAAAACTCCAACTGACAAAAATTACTTCAGGAATCAGGGTGGCCACTCAAACTTAAAAAAAAAATTCCCGGCTATTTCCCGGTTTTCCAGGAGAAAATGAGTTTTTTCCCGGTTGTTCTTTAGTAGCTTTAAATTGAACTTGTAAATTATTAATCCACTGGTTTTATTGATGATTTGAATTGTCTTTAGCTGCTGAAAAATTTACATTTATATTTAATATATAACTTGTAAAAAAAAGTTATAAATTCTTCAAAAGATCTAAGTTTGTTTTAAATTTTATAATATTAAATGTAATAAACTAAGTGAGTAATGTGAAATTAAGAATGCTTTGAATTAAAAATATATTTAATGTTAATCTTTGGAATTTAACATAGTGCTTTTAAATCTTAATGAATGTAATAAAACATTTTTATGTACTTTACATAACGATTACTAAATTTTTTTACAATAATATGCTTTTTGTACAAACAGAACATAAATTTGTAATAAATACGCCATGAAATCTAATATATAATCAAAAAACAAAAAATGAACAATTTTCTTCTAAAACAGTCTCATTCTACGTTAAATTTTTCAATTCTGCATCAATTGTTTCGATTTCTTTTCGTGTATCTTCTAAGAGCTTCTGTTTTTTTGTAGAAAGCTCTTTAATTTTTTGAGTTTTCATTTTTCGTTTATTTTTTTGTTCTTTTTCTTGAGTGTTTAATTTGTTTTTCTCTTTTAAGGCTTTAACATAACGTGAATGAGCGTCACGTACTGAAGTAATAAGACTTCTTGTAATAAACAAATTTTCCAGACCACCCAGAGAATTTAGGGTATCGTAGATTAGTCTGTGAGCCACAAGTGTTTCTTCTTCCATATTTTCAACAAGACACTGTTTATTGACAGAAAATCCTCTTTCGACGTTGGCGTTTCCGTGTGACAAAATCAAAGTTGTTTTAATTACAGTTTTTAATTCTTCACAATCTTCCGGCACAATTTTCATTAAATCAAACCAAAAGTGATCCAGACGTTGTTCCCTTCTTTTAAAATTGCACATCCTACTTGCAGCAACAGAATTCGAAGACACCAGATTATATTGATGTGCTGCTTTATCTGCGGTACTACTGAGTATCCAATTGTGTTCGTACAAAATGCTTAAAAGTGTCTTCATTCTTGTTTTTCCGACTGTTCCCTCCTCTAGAACAGCGATTGCGGGAGCTAAACAAGTGATTGCTTTGCTAAGTCCGTTTTTTAAAGGCGAACGTTCCATAATTTTAGCAATGCATTTTTGTAACGCTAGTCTGCATTCTTTTCGAAATTTCAAAATGTCAAGTTCCGTCAAACCTTTACATTTTTTTATTTGACTGTACGCTTCGAATCCTAAATCCACTTTTTTTAAAGGAAGTAGATTTTCTTTCAAAAAAACATCAACGGTTGGTTTAATTTTAGAAGGTTCAACAAAACGCTCCAATTTGCTTTTTTCCAAGTGATTTACAAATTTTTTCAAATCGGGAAGTAATTCAATTGCTCTCGTTGAAACGTCAGAATTTTCTAACCAACGTGTAGTACAAAATTTCAAGGGAAAAGTTCGAGAATTTGTACATTTGGTGTACAGTGCTCTTCGGGCTGGAACGTCCTTGAAAAAAGTATACAGAGATCTTAAAAATGACACTATTTCCCAATCTGTCGCAGTTATAGCAGTTTTAAAAGCACCATTTTCAAGATGTAGACCACAAACTCCAAGATTTAATAATTTTGTGACAATTTCATTTGTTTCTAAATATAATTGAAGATCTTTTAGAAATTTTAGATTCCTTAAATGCGTCCAATAAATCTGAAGCTTTGCAACTGCCTAAAAATGTTGAGGTGTAGTATCGAGTACAAACTTCATTGCTGCTGTCATCCCAAAATCTTACATTTATATCCATTTGCGTTCTCTGAGATATTTTATTTAAGGCTTCATCGAAACCAACCACAACGCGAGAACATGTTTTCAAAATTTCTAAAAGATTTTGTTTGAAATACGGTGCTATGCCATACAGTAGGGTATATTCCACTTTAGTCCTTTGCAATAGAATTTTTTTTGCAATTTCGCTGTCAGGAAACATCAATGGAAAAAGAGTGACATCTTTACCAACTGTTCGCATAGATTTATGGGTTATAACAGT